TCATGGCTCACGACAGGAAAGGCTGTCCAGGAGAGAGCAGAGCAGTCTCCGCTAGTAGAAGCTAATCATTGGCATTAGCAACTCCACCACACAGCAGAACTCCTTCAGGCTTGTGTTATTTGTGGAGATAAAACATCAACGTTGCAGAGCAAATGGAGTCAGTGGTAGAGTCGTGTTGCTGTTAGCCAACCAGAGGAGAGATGTCCGGATATCCAAATCCTGCCGATTGCTGCTCATCTCTCATCTGGCTCACTTCTACACAGCAAAACCTGAAAGCTTTGTTTTTAGAAATTTTATCAGTGGCTTTAAAGGTTGAATATGGGAAAATTGCATGGAAAGTTATATCTTTAAATAGTACTTCCATTGGGCGTTTAGAAGTGTGCAGAATGAAGTGACATTATTTCCTTTAAAAGCTATATTTTAAATAAAAAATATGAAATAATTATTTTGACGGCCACAACACTGGGTTTGTGTTTACATCTGCCAGACAGTAGAGGGCACCATTGCGGCACCACATTTCCTCTGCGGAGCCCTCTGCCTTGGGGCCGGTGGTCGGCGCTCCTCGGGTAGTGCCCGGGCAGTGGTGGGGGTTTATGCCCTCCCCCACTGGGCGTCATGGGCCGGTGTCTTGGCTGCTGCTGTGGATCTGCTGCTGTCAGGGCAGATGGCTCCGCTGATGATGTGTCGTTCATTACCTGACCCATCTGAACTCAGCCTATTGTTTCCTCTGTTGTTCACGTGTGTGTGTGTGTGTGTGTGTGTGTGTGTGTGTGTGTGTGTGTGTGTGTGTGTGTGCATGTGTGTGTGCATGGACAAGTGTGCGGGTGATTGTATGTCCACTTTGGAAGTTGGGTGCAGGAGGGGAACTGTAATTGTCAATTGTTTTATACTTGGGGAGGGGGGCTGGGATGGGAATATGGGTTCTATGGGGCCATTTTAATCTGTAAAGCACTTTGAGTTGCATTTTTTTTGTATGAAAAGTGCTATATAAATAAAGTTGATTTGATTTGATTTGAAAATAGTGGGCTTGGCAAGTCAAGCAGCTGCTTCTGAGTTAAGAAGATGTGGTTATCCTTCTTAGAAGAGGGGCCTCGTCTCGTCTCGTCTCGTCTTCCTCCGCTTATCCGGGTCCGGGTCGCGGGGGCAGCATCCCAACTAGGGAGCTCCAGGCCGTCCTCTCCCCGGCCTTGTCCACCAGCTCCTCCGGCAGGACCCCAAGGCGTTCCCGGACCAGATTGGAGATGTAACTTCTCCAACGTGTCCTGGGTCGACCCGGGGGCCTTCTGCCGGCAGGACATGCCCGAAACACCTCCCCAGGGAGGCGTCCAGGAGGCATCCTGACCAGATGCCCAAACCACCTCAACTGGCTCCTTTCGATCCGGAGGAGCAGCGGTTCTACTCCGAGTCCCTCCCGAATGTCCGAGCTCCTCACCCTATCTCTAAGGCTGAGCCCGGCCACCCTACGGAGGAAACTCATTTCGGCCGCTTGTATCCGCGATCTCGTTCTTTCGGTCATTACCCAAAGCTCATGACCATAGGTGAGGATTGGGACGTAGATCGACCGGTAAATCGAGAGCCTGGCTTTCTGGCTCAGCTCCCTCTTCCCCACGACAGATCGGCTCAGCGTCCGCATCACTGCAGACGCCGAACCAATCCGCCTGTCGATCTCCCGATCCCTCCTACCCTCACTCGTGAACAAGACCCCGAGATACTTAAACTCCTCCACTTGAGGTAGGACCTCTCCCCCGACCCGGAGGTGGCAAGCCACCCTTTTCCGGTCGAGAACCATGGTCTCAGATTTGGAGGTGCTGATCCTCATCCCAGCCGCTTCACATTCGGCCGCGAACCTACCCAGCAAGAGCTGAAGGTCAGAGCTGGATGAAGCTAGGAGGACCACATCATCCGCAAAAAGCAGAGACGAGATTCTCCTGCCACCAAACTCGACACACTCCACACCACGGCTGCGTCTAGAAATTCTGTCCATAAATGTGATGAACAGAACCGGTGACAAAGGGCAGCCCTGGCGGAGTCCAACCCTCACTGGGAACAGGTCCGACTTACTACCGGCTATGCGGACCAAACTCACGCTCCTCTGGTAAAGGGACTGAATGGCCCTTAACAGAAAGCCACCCACCCCATACTCCTGGAGCGTCCCCCACAGGGTGCCCCTGGGGACACGGTCATAAGCCTTCTCCAAATCCACAAAGCACATGTGGATTGGTTGGGCAAACTCCCATGCCCCCTCCATCACCCTTGCAAGGGTATAGAGCTGGTCCACAGTTCCACGGCCAGGACGAAAACCACATTGCTCCTCCTCTATCTGAGATTCAACTATCGATCGGACCCTCCTCTCCAGTACCTTGGAGTAGACCTTTCCAGGGAGGCTGAGGAGTGTGATCCCCCTATAGTTGGAACACACCCTCAGGTCACCCTTCTTAAAGATGGGGACCACCACCCCGGTCTGCCACTCCCTAGGAACTGCCCCCGATGACCACGCAATGTTGTAGAGACGTGTCAACCATGACAGCCCTACAACATCCATAGCCTTGAGATACCCAGGACGAACCTCATCCGCCCCCGGGGCTCCGCCGCTGTGTAGTTGTTTGACTACCTCAGCAACTTCTGCCCCCGAGATCGGACAGTCCATCCCCAGGCCTCCCAGCTCTGGTTCCTCCTCGGAATGCGCATTGGTGGGATTGAGGAGCTCCTCAAAGTATTCCTTCCACCGTCCGACTATAGCCTCAGTTGACGTCAGCAGCTCCCCATCCCCACTGTAAACAGTGTGAGCGAGTTGCTGCCTTCCTCTCCTGAGGCGCCGGACAGTTTGCCAGAACCTCTTTGGAGCCGATCGATAGTCTTTCTCCATGGCCTCACCAAACTCCTCCCACGCCCGAGATTTTGCCTCGGCAACTGCCACTGCTGCACCCCGCTTGGCTATCCGGTACCTGTCTGCTGCCTCCGGAGACCCACAGACCAGCCACGCCCTGTAGGCCTCCTTCTTCAGCCTGACGGCTCCCCGAACCTCTGGTGTCCACCAGCGGGTACGGGGGTTGCCACCACGACTGGCACCGGCCACCTTACGACCACAGCTAGCAACAGCCGCCTCGACAATCGCAGAGTGGAACAAGGCCCACTCGGACTCAATGTCCCCCACTGCTCTCGGGACGTGGTCAAAGCTCTGCCGGAGGTGGGAGTTGAAGACCGTCTTGACAGGTTCTTCTGCCAGGCGTTCCCAGCAGACCCTCACTATGCGTTTGGGTCTGCCAGGTCTACGCGGCATGTTCCCTTGCCATCTGATCCAACTCACCACCAGGTGGTGATCAGTTGACAGCTCCGCCCCTCTCTTCACTCGGGTGTCCAAAACATACGGTCGCAGGTCAGATGATACGACTACAAAATCTATCATCGACCTGTGACCTAGGCTGCCCTGGTACCAAGTGTACCGGTGGGCATCCTTATGTTCGAACATGGTGTTCGTTATGGCCAAACTGCGGCTTGCACAGAAGTCCAATAACAAAACACCGCTCGAGTTCTGATCAGGTGGGCCGTTCCTCCCAATCACACCCCTCCAGGTCAAGCTGTCATTGCCCACGTGAGCATTGAAGTCCCCCAGCAGGACAATGGAGTCCCCTGATGGAGCACTATCTAGCACTCGTCCCAGGGACTCCAAAAAGGGTGGGTACTCTGAACTGATATTTGGCCCATACGCACAAACAACAGTCAGGACCCGTTCCCCGACCCGAAGGCGCAAGGAAGCTACCCTCTTGTCCCCCGGGGTAAACCCCAACACACAGGCAGAGAGTCTCGGGGCTAACAAAAAGCCAACCCCAGCCCTCCGCCTCTCACCCGGAGCAACTCCAGCAAAGTAGAGTGTCCAACCCCTCTCCAGGTCTCGGGTTCCAGAGCCAATGCAATGTGTCGAGGTGAGTCCGACTATATCTAGCCGGTACCGCTCAACCTCTGCCACAAGCTCCGGCTCCTTCCCCGCCAGCGAGGTGACGTTCCATGTCCCAAAAACTAGTTTCCTTGTCCGGGGATTGGACCGCCAAGGCTCCCGCCTTGGTCTGCCACCCGATTCACATTGCACCGGACCCTTCATGTTCCTCCTGCGGGTGGTGGGTCCACAGTTGGACGAGCCCATGTATCCGGTTCGGGCTGGGCCCGGCCGGGCCCCATGGGCGAAAGCCCGGCCACCAGGCGCTCGCTCACGGGCCCCAACCCCAGGCCTGGCTCCAGGGTGGGACCCCGGTAACCCTCCGGGCCGGGTACTCCGACTCTTCGTTTTCACCGCCATGAAAGATCCTTCGAACCGTTCTTTGTCTCACCCTTCACCTAAGACCAATTTGTCATGGGAGACCCTACCAGGGGCACTAAGTGCCCCAGGCAACATAGCTCCTAGGATCATTAGGGCACTCAAACTCCTCCACCACGATAAGGTGACGGTTCAAGGAGAAGAGGGGCGATGACAAAATCTAAAACCAGAGCAAGTTTAGGTGAAGCCTACAGTAGATGGACCCAAATACAAATTTCACGTAACTGCAGCAAACCTGGTCCTTCGGCTAGAAAACGTGTTATTTTGTTGTAACTACAACCTCGACACACTAGATGTTGCTTTGGTGTTCCTCTTCCATATTAAACCTTCAAATTACCTAAATAATCAAATTTTAGATTTATTAGCTGGTTTTAGGAATTCTAGCCAAGCAACTTGTGCTCATCCCATCGGCAGATTTTTTAACTCGAAACAAGAAAATTTGGGTCATATTCAAGAATGTACGCCTTATTTTAAGTAATATTTTTCTAGAGAAGACATCATTTTTCTTACACTAAAAACACGATTAAATGTCTAAAATGTAGGCTTTTTAGCCTTTTCAGTTTTTTCCGCGTGGTTCCTGAAATATGGGCACAAAAGCTTTTTTTCCCACTGTTAAAAAAAACATTGCTTGGTCTTTTAATTTGATCTTCAGCTTTCTGATGTCCATCCTTCTTTTACCTGCTTTTAGATATCTCCTGCAGTATGGAAAACACGCCTTGGACATGCTTGCCAATAGTCAGGACAGTCTTCGTCTTCGCTGGCTGGAGCAGTTGTTCTCCTCTGCTGCTCGGTTTGATCCTGAGGAAGGGATTCCCCTGCACTCAGCTGTTAAACTAATACGAGGTGTGAATCCAGGCGTCAGCACCGACAAGGTGGAGCGCAGGTTTAAAGAGCTTCAACGGGTCAGGGAGAAGATGAGCGAGCTGACGCTGGAAAATGCTTCTGGGGTTAAAGACTGCAGCCCCAACAAAAAGAAAACCGAAAGAAAGGAGCGAATCTCCAAGAAGGAGTTCACTGAGGTCTTCCACGACTTTTGCACCCGCCCAGAGATCTACTTTCTGTTGGTGCAGTTCTCTAGCAACAAGGAGTACCTGGATGCCAAAGACCTGATGAGGTTCCTGGAGGCTGAGCAGGGCATGGCTCAAGTGGGTAACAAAATAATCACATGTAGTTTTGTGTAGTCTCTGTAAAAAGGTCATTGTGGATATATTTGCAGATTTGAACTTTTATTAGCATCCAGAAATGGATTCAGTCTTGCTTCATATATGTGCTTTCAGAAAACTTTCCGGCATTTTAGACTTTGGTTTTCCTGGTGGAGAGTATGTTAATGCGTGTAATTACTAATAAGTCTTCTTCTGATTTGTTCTCCAGGTGAGTGAGGAAACCAGCCTGAAATTCATCCAGACACACGAGCCATCAGAGGAGGGACGGCAGCAAGGCCACCTGTCTTTAGACGGCTTCACCAGCTACCTCACTTCAGGGGAGTGCCACCTGTTTGACAGGGAACACGATCGTGTTTGCCAGGACATGTCTCAGCCTCTGTCTCACTACTACATCAACTCCTCCCACAACACCTACCTCATTGAGGACCAATTTCGAGGTCCCTCGGATGTTTCTGGCTACATCCGCGCTCTCAAGATGGGCTGTCGATGTGTGGAGGTGGACGTGTGGGACGGTGCCGATGAGGAACCTATAGTGTGCACGGGACGCACCCTCTCCCCACCACTGGCCCTGCGTTCCGTTTTAGAGGCAATAGGAAGGTTTGCATTCGTGGCTTCAGAATATCCGGTAATTGTGTGTCTTGAAAACCACTGTTCACTTCAACAGCAGAAAGTTCTCGTGCAACTTCTGACCAGGATACTGGGGGAGTGGCTGTACAGGAATCCACCAGAAGAAGGAGCCACATACCTACCTTCACCACATGACCTGAAACATCGAATTCTGCTTAAGGGAAAAAGTCTCGGGCCAAGCACCGATGGGGAAGGTGGGGAGGTGAGTGAAGAAGATGAAGGAGCAGAAATGTGTCAGAAGATGAAAGCAGTAAAGAGCAGCAGTGGAGGAATTGAGAAGGATGCCGTGCAGAAAGGTGTTTCTTTCACGGCTCAGTCCAGTCCTTCGCATCTCGCCTGCAAACCCTTCCTGCTGTTCAGGGGACTTTCTGATTTAGTCACTCTGTGCCATTCTGTTTGCTTCATAGACTTTCAAACATCCTCTAAATCCCAGAACCCGTGGGAAATGTGCTCCTTCCATGAGTCTGTGGCTTTAGGTCTTGCTAGCGAAAGCCCCGGTGACTATGTCAACCACAACAAGCGTTTCCTATCACGGGTTTACCCTAACCCCATGCGAATCGACTCAAGCAATATGAACCCCCAGGACTTGTGGAAGTGCGGTTGCCAGATTGTGTCGATGAATTTTCAGACGGCAGGACTGATGATGGACCTGAACACAGCCTGGTTCAGGCAGAACGGAAACTGCGGTTATGTCTTGCGTCCAGCCATCATGCGGCAGGAGGTGTCTTATTTCAGTGCTGACACCAAAGGCTCCGTCCCTGGTGTGTCTCCACAGCTACTCCATGTGAAGGTAGACACTAGTTACTAGTTACCTGGGTGAGATCAGAACGATCAAAACTAGATCTACTGAACAGGAAGTTCTCATTATAACACGCTTCTGTAATCCTTCCTCAGGTGATCAGTGGCCAGAATCTGCCAAAGCCCAAAGGCTCTGGGGCCAAAGGGAATGTGGTGGACCCATACGTGTACGTGGAAATTCACGGTATCCCAGCTGACTGCACTGAGCGTCGCACCAGGACTGTGACTCAGAACGGAGACAACCCCATCTTTGACGAGAGCTTTGAGTTCCAGATCAACTTGCCCGAGCTCGCTATGGTCCGGTTCGTGGTTCTGGATGATGACTTTATCGGGGATGAATTCATTGGTTAGTATCAAATATGAGGTGAGGGACGAGGTCCTCCCTCAGGTGGAGGAGTTTAAGTATCTCGGGGTCTTGTTTACGAGTGAGGGAAAGATGGAGCGTGAGATTGACAGGCGGGTTGGTGCTGCGTCTGCAGTGATGCGGGCGTTGTACCGGTCTGTCGAGGTAAGCCGATTTACCGGTCGATCTACGTTCCTACCCTCACCTACCCTCACCGATGGTCACAAGCTTTGGGTAGTGACCGAAAGAACGAGATCGTGGATACAAGCGGCCGAAATGAGTTTTCTCTGCAGGGTGGCTGGGCTCTATCTTAGAGATAGGGTGAGAAGCTCGGTCATCCGGGAGGGGCTCGGAGTAGACCCGCTGCTCCTCCAAATCGAGAGGAGCCAGTTGAAGTGGCTCAGGCATCTGTTCTGGAGGCCTCCTGGAAGCCTCCCTGGTGAGGTTTTCTGGGCATGTCCAACTGGGAGGAGACCCAAGGGAAGACCCAGGACACGGTGGAGGGACTATGTCTCTCGGCTGGCCAGGGAACTCCTTGGGATTCCCCCGGAGGAGCTGGCCCAAGTAGCTGGGGAGAGGGAAGTGTGGGCGTCTTGGCTTAAGGTTGGTTTATGCTTGACGCGTCCGCGAGGTCCGCACGGCTCAGCGCGGCGAAATTGCGTCATTTTAACAACCACGCCCCTCCACCGCGTCTCCGCATGGCTCAAAATTTCCGCAACGCGCACCTCGGAAAATTTCTAACCATGCGGACGGACGGACGCGGAAAAACATGGCGGACCGGCAAGAACTAGTATGGCAGAGGTTCGTAAATACAGACATTTGTATGATTCAGCTCTCAGAGATCACCGTGATCAACATGTTGTTAATAATTCTTGGAGAGAAATAGCTCGCACTGTCGGAAAAGACGAGGACGCTGTTAAAAATGCTGAAATGCCATGTTGTAAACAGTAATTTCTACTTCTACTATGGTGTAGTGTTGGATGCATGCCGTAGAGCTCCATGCTGCCGCCTACAGTTTGGGAGAATATTGGCTCACCGCAGAGACAAGCCGCACAAACCATAAACGCTGCGAGTTGTGAAGCGCGTTCCAGCCGCGAGCCGCATCACCACGCGGAAAGTGAATGCGTCAAGCATAAACCAAGCTTAAGGCTGCTGCCCCCGCGACCCAACTCTGGATAAGAAGCTGAAAATGGACGGATGGAGTATCAAATATCCAAAGAGTATGTAGACAGCTTGGTATTTTTCCTCAATTGTTCAGATAACATTTGCTCTTACATCTGAAGGTACAAGAGGGAAAGCTTGTTGAGGTGTTGGGGTCATGGAGGGTCTCAACCGACGGAAACTAAAAATATTGCTCTACCCTTTTAGGTCAGTATACCATTCCCCTGGAGTGCCTCCAACCAGGTTACCGGCACGTACCCCTCCAGTGTCTCACAGGGGAAGATCTACCACACGCCAAGCTGTTTGTCCATGTGGCCCTCACAAATCGACGGGGAGGTGGGAAACCTCACAAAAGAGGTCTCTCGGTACGGAAGGCTCGGAGGGGGAGGGAGTACACGGCTCTGAGGAACCTTGGAGTTCGGGCAGTCGATGAGGTTTTCAAGATGGCCACTCCGTTTCTGCGAGAAGCCACCGACCTCAGGGGCAACATGCAGGTGAGAAAGACTTGGATATTTAATTATTTTACATATGAATTTAAAAATGAGACTCGGAGAACAGAAAACTTTGAAAGGTGCACTCCCTGTGCTTGTGTGTCTGTGGGCAGATCTTATCAAACCAACGACCGTGCAACGACAATGAAGATAGGAAAATATTACAGTAGACTTTTGAGGACTTGTCCAACTTGATTCCAATGAGATGTGGAACATTTTAACCCATTGTAACCACTTGTGCACATTCTGTCTTGATTTAGAGCCTAAACCAAAAAATGTTTTAAAAATGGTAAAAAATGTAAAACCAAATAAAAGAAACAAAAGTTAAATAAACTGTAAGGGTGGAATCGTTAAGAGTTTAAACTTAAAGACCAAGTTCACTGAAAAAAAGCTTTTTCTTGTTATTTTTGAAACATCATTGATCACTCTGAGTTTCACATGCAGGCTAAATGTGAAATTAGTCTTCCACCTCTATTTTCTGCATTAGCCGCAGACGGGAAGTAGACGGGCAATGTGGACTAGGAAAGTCAGCCAGATGCACTTTATAATGTCAAATTAGCATTCATGGAGTCCTCCATCTTGGCTCGCGACAGGGAAGGTTGTTGGTTTAGTGTTCAGGAAACCACAGAGAACGTCTCGCCTGGTAAGCTAACCATTAGCATTAGCAACTTCACCACGCAGCAGCACTCCTTCAGGCTTGTGTTATTGGTGGAAACAAAACAACGTTGCCGAGTAAACAGTCAGTGTTGGAGTCGAGTTGCTGCTATTCAGTCAGAAAATAAGACTCCAAATGCTGTCGTTCTCTGTTCCCCACTCCTCAGACTCACTTCCAGTTTGTGAAACAGATGTGTTCTCACAGAGGTATTCATTTATATTAGAGACCACTGCAAAAGTGTTGAACTACTTTAGCCTTTTAACTTCTGAAACGTTTGTGATGTTAGCATTCTGACACCAGCAACACCTACTGGACTAATGTTGTCTCTGCTGGTCAATGGCCAGTCAGTGACCATGTGTGTGTGTGTGTGTGTGTGAGAGAGAGAGAGAGAGAGAGAGAGAGAGAGATGCAGAAAACCAAATATTCCATGTCACATTTCTCTGCGTGAATTTGGATGTGACATTTTTTATCTCTATTTCTGTGTTTATATGCAGCCAGAGAACAGTTAAGGAGGTGCAGATTTTCGAACCTGCAGAGGTTGCTCATCATCTTTTTTTATACGATTTAATAGAACTCAGTGGCGGTGTTCAAGGAGCTGTGTGGGGTGTCAGCTGTGGCTAACCTCATGCAGTGCGTGCTTGCTCTGAGCTCCAGTGTGTCGGGCCCAGAGGGGACATCTTTATTGCTGTTTAACCTGAAGGACAGCTACCCCATCCTGGAGCCCCAGGGTCTCCTGCCGGATGTTCTTCGTCGAGTCGTTGCTACTTATGAAACGGTAAGAAAAGGACACTTTATCCTTTTTCAGAAATCAGTTAAAGCAACTAAAAGTGTGACCCAACATCACAGAAACCCCTGTCACCAACCTAAACATCCGAAGCACAAAGCGAGCTCTCGCCGCTCTGCAGGATACAATCGTTTGTTCTGATCTCGTAAACCCATCACCGTCTTGGCCCAAAGCCACATTGTGTTTCCATCCCAATTCACCACACACTCTTATTGACCACAGCAAAAGTTATTTAACAAACTTAATTTATGTAATGATTTCTAAAAATAAACCCAACTGCCCCATAGAAAACGACAAAAGGAACAGACGAGGATAAAAGTCGTCAGGCTGTTAATTACAGACGGTCTAGAAATCAGGATGAATGACTGCATTCCAGTAAGTTATGGCTGCTTAGTTCAGGTCTCTGCTCCGAGTCTTTCAGTACTTTTATTTAACGTTCAATACTTTTTACTCTAATGTCAGCCCGCAAGCCTGAATGTCAACCACATCACCTTCCTCAGTCAATATCTCTTTTCTGTTCATGCCATCATTCCTCTAAGTGGCTCAAGACAGGTTCAGCAGGCATAACAGGCCTTTTGAAAAACTTCATAAAGTGTCACATGTTACGAGTTTTCAAGCAGAAACGGAGAGCAGCAGTAAGTGGCTCCTTCTAGCCTCATTCAGTTCTGATTAAGGTTTTGGTGCCTAATCTGTGACGCATCAAATTACCAGCAGCTGTTTATCACCACTCTGCATCTTGTTTCTGAGACTGCATTTTTGTGCAGGACTGGTCTGAGTGGGACCGTGCACACGGCCTGTTTGTGTCTCTGCAGCCACTTCCGTTCCAGCCGAGCGGCTCGGAGCTGGAAAAAAACTGGCCGTGGTGCAGAATATCATTAGCATAGATTTGAATGCCGTGCGGCTTAATGGATTCCTTACATCACCCCGGACACATGAGAGTAGAGACAGGAAGTGGGGACATGTACGCACATGTGTGCATGTCTAGTTGGACTGAATGTAGTTGTGGTTAATCCCCTGTTTGTTGCACTGTTTCTATTTCTCCACATCAAGGTCAAGTCCCTGCAGACGGTCCGAGAGGAAGTTCGGAATAATCAGACAGGGATTTCTCATGTTAACCCCGTGTGTGTGTGTGTGTGTGTGTGGGGGGGGGGGGGGGGGGGGGGGGTATCTAGCTGGCATTTTCAGCACTTTAACGTAAATATTAATGCATCCTTTATATAAATAAATGTGTTCTTGTGTTTTTATAGGCTGATAGGTGTGTTCCACCACCGCAGACCATAAAATATGTGCATGTGTTTTTACTGTAACCGTGTGATGCTTGGTACGTGTGTGTTGGTACCGCGCTAACAGGGTGTCTGTTTCCTGTTTCTCTGTATTAGATGGTCGATGCCAGCAAAGCTGTGATGGAGCTTTCAGATGGAATCTATGACAAGATCCTGCATATCCAAGCAATGGGTGAGTGTGTGTGCGTGCATGCGCACTAGTGTGCAAATGAGATGCTGTGTTAAGTATTTAATATTGCTTGTGATGGACATCGACCAGGCTGTCATCATAATCCCAGTGCCTTTGTGGCAGCTCCCTCACAAGGTTTCATCTCCAACGAGCCTCTCCTCTCCCTCCATTTATCTATTTTCCTCTGCTTAGCCGGGGCCCTGACCTTAACCTTGGATTCACCCCAGATGATCAGCTGTTTCCCCTCTGGGTGCATCAGATTCACATCAGGAAGTGGAACACCGAGTTTACCGTCATTCTCATCTCAGCTGCTCACAGCTCAAATGGTTGTCTTTGTCTAAGCGGTGGTCAGGATGCAACGTGTGCTGTATCCTGATGCTTCAACCATAAAGAAACCTCCAGTTCAGGAGTGTGTGTGTGTGTGCGCATGTGTGTGTGTCCCTTTAATTGCTCAGTGAGATATTGTTCTCTATTGGTTTTGCCTCACAGAGAAAAGGAAACTAACACAGACACGCTACACTGGCACGTGGGCTTCGAGTTGCCTAGCAACTGTGTGGTAAAGGTTATTATTAAGTCAATTTATGTAGGTGTGAGTGTGGAGCAGGGTCTACGTATGTGTGTGCAGCTGTGCCTCCATGTTGGCAGACGTTTAGTAAAATGGGGGTGTCATGTGTGAAAAATTAGTTTTCCACCCAATTTGTGTGTGTGTGTGTGTGTGTGTGTGTGTGTGTGTGTGTGTGTGTGTGTGTGTGTGTGTGTGTGTGTGTGTGTGTGTGCGCGCGCGCGCTTGAGAGAGAGAGAGAGAAGCATGTGACCCATAACTTGGTATGCTAAACGTCTAGAATCTCAAAGTTTGCCCCATGTTAACCCACTTTCGGGTTTCCATGGTAACAGTGAGACAGTGGCCCGGGGCAGCCTGAGGAGACCAGACACATGGAAACAAGTCGACGCACACATTCTAACTAGCCTCAAGCGAGATGGCCTCATCTGCTTCCCAGATTTTCTGTCGACCTTACTATTCCTCATTTCCATCCTTTTTGACTTCTCGTTTGTAAAATCGTCTCCCAAGGAATTCGGAGCTGGGAATGTTTCGACTCACCAGTCTCAGCTGGAAGAGTGCTTGAAGGGTGCGTCTTCAGCCATGGATGAATTTACATTTTGCATATTGATTCACTAGATTCAAATGAGACATCTTGTGATTTCTTTTTAACGTCATAATTGTTCTACGGTTGATACAAAACGTGTTCATGACATTTTTTACACTAAATCTCTCTAAAATGAAGCTATTTCAATTGTTGTAATTTTTCAGTACCTTCCAGAATGTTACTGTAAGAAAACGAGCTGTTGCTGGCCACGCCCACCCATCCTCTGATTTAATCAATTTCCCTCTGGGATTAATAAAGTATTTTTGAATTGAATTGAATTGATTGGCTGTGCATTTATCACAGTAGAAACATGAATTACTGGTCACACAGTGGTATAGTTAAAGCAGTGCGCCACATCCAGATGACTTAAATCCAGAAATCTCTTATGTCAGTGGTGTTGACACTTTTCTACACGAGAGCCAAATTGTCATAATAGGTAATTTAGTATCAGTCTGAACATAAAATGGTAGAAAAGCGTCAATCTACAGGTCTTTCTAAAAATTAGCATATTGTGATAAAGTTCATTGTCTGTAATGTACTGATAAACATTAGACTTTCATATATATTAGATTCATTACACACAACTGAAGTAGTTCAAGCCTTTTATTGTTTCTAATACTGATGATGTTAGCATACAGCTCATGAAAACCCAAAATTCCTATCTTAAAAAAATTTGCATATCATGAAAAGGTTCTCTAAACGAGCTATTAACCTAATCTTCTGAATCAACTAATTAACTCTAAACACCTGCAAAAGATTCCTGAGGCTTTTAAAAACTCCCAGCCTGGCTCATTACTCAAAACCGCAATCATGGGTAAGACTATCGACCTGACTACTGTCCAGAAGGCCATCATTGACACCCTCAAGCAAGAGGGTAAGACACAGAAAGAAATTTCTGAACAAATAGGCTGTTCCCAGAGTGCTGTATCAAGGCACCTCAGTGGGAAGTCTGTGGGAAGGAAAAAGTGTGGCAGAAAACGCTGCACAATGAGAAGAGGTGACCGGACCCTGAGGAAGATTGTGGAGAAGGACAGATTCCAGACCTTGGGGGACCTGCAGAAGTAGTGGACTGAGTCTGGAGTAGAAACATCCAGAGCCACCGTGTACAGGTGTGTGCAGGAAATGGGCTACAGGTGCCGCATTCCCCAGGTCAAGCCACATTTGAACCAGAAACAGCGGCAGAAGCGCCTGACCTGGGCTACAGAGAAGCAGCACTGGACTGTTGCTCAGTGGTCCAAAGTACTTTTTTCAGATGAAAGCAAATTTTGCGTGTCATTCAGGAATCAAGGTGCCAGAGTCTGGAGGAAGACTGGGCAGAGGGAAATACCAACATGCCTGAAGTCCAGTATCAAGTACCCACAGTCAGTGATGGTCTGGGGTGCCATGTCAGCTGCTGTTGTTGGTCTACTGTGTTTTATCAAGGGCAGGGTCAATGCAGCTAGCTATCAGGAGATTGAGGACCCTTGATCTATGTCAACTACTGAAGAGACAAAAAGTTCATAGCTGAAAGGTAACTGGGGGCTGAGGGTTGCGATTGGCTTCCAGGCTGGACTTTGGACATGCCTGACTTAGCTTGTGTCCTCACGCAGAAGAAAGAGGAGCAGGACACAACGCTACGCCTTTTAGCCACCCAAAGACATTTGAGAAATGAAAACAGTCTTGTTGACCAGTTAATTTAGTTAAATAGTGGTTTTGTGATTTGTTAAAAAAAGCTCCTTTTTTTATTTTAGCTATGGAGTTTCATGAAAATCTGCAAACCCAGGCGATGAAGGAAGGGTTGAAAGGTCCCAAGATTAGTCGAGCTCTCGAGAGCTTCAGCTGGAACATCACCATCCTGAAGGTCTGTGACTCCCATCAGAGCAGATCAGTTGACTACTTTTAGCCAGTTGCTTGTTCTGGTTTTAACCACACCTCTACTGTTCTGTCCTGCCAACGTAGGGCCAGGCCGACCTGCTGCAACGCGCCAAGGCTGAAGTCCTGGAGAACATGAAGCAGGTCCACGATGCGGCGCTGACTGGAAACCTCACGAAAGAGGGGGAGGGAGTAAGAAGAGTTCGCTCACAAACGAGGCGAGGTCAGGACGAGAACACAAGTGCTTAGAGGAGACGGTGTGGTAAACTCATCACACGCCAGCGGTTTCTGCCTTTTCTGTAGACCCAAACACCGCCGGTAGAGCTGCAATGCTGCAGGGATGAATGTAAGGCCTGAAGACCGGTTCCAGATGTTTCTACTGTCATGAATGCACACCACATGTTTATTCTGGACCTCTTTGTGTATTTGTCTTGTAAGGTGTGTGTGTGGAGACTGCATTTGTACAAGTCTGGTCAGTTGAAACTGCTAAAATTCTTTTGATGACGTTCAAAAGTTTGTCTTTAAACAGGACGGTGGAAACCAGTTCAGGTGACTGCCCCCCCCCCCCCCCCCCCCCCCTAGTTGCAGTTGCTCGTCTATTAAACACCTTTTGCTCCTGTACTGCTGCTCTGGATTCAGTTGCCATGAGATTGCCTGTTTTGCACCAAACTTCACACAATCACCCTTTAATGATCATCTGTCAAAGTATTCTATATTTTTGTATTTCGCTGAACTGTGAGCTAATGAAGCTACTCCGCCATAACGATCAACTCCAGAGGTCCTGACTCTGAACCAGCCGGTACTGTTGATGAAAACACTGTACAGTATTTTAATATGTGACTCAATCCTGTTTTGCTGTAAAGAATATTTTAAATAAGTTATTGATGCTGATTAAGAATATTCCAGATACATGATGATGTTGCATTAATGAAATCCGACCAGCATCAAAGTGGAAATAAACCCATTTTAAATGACTTTTGCTTTTTATTTGGACTCATCAGGAAGTGCACATCTGTTCCTGAAAAGTAGGAACGAAGAAGTCCAACAGCATCTTGTGAAGCTTCAGTGCTTCTCATTAAAGGGACAATTTGCAACTTTTTCATATTTTTAAATCATTTTCTTGAGCCCGGATGTGCTAAAGTGACCCTTTACAGGGTTAATGAAAGGCCACCCAGCCCCTATCGCCCCCCTGTGGCCAGAATATCGCACTTGCAACATCAGTTGCTGAGGTACCCGACGCTGCTGTCTGGCTTCAGCACGTTTCCAGCATGTTTAAGATCATCACCTGATTTGTTTAATTTAGTGATGAATCATTCCTCTAGACACTTGGGAACGCTGGTAGACGTTTCAGCTGGTAGATTAAGGTGTTAATAAGACAAACGCACAGCGAGGAGATAGTTTTGCTTCTACAAACGGACACGAGGTGCTAAAACTAAGCAAAACTGCTTAGTATCCCTTTAAAGCTGCAATGGCAAATTCGCAAAGCAAGCTAGCTTACATTTTTTTCCCCATGCCTCTTAACTTACAGTTTCAATATAAATATATTGAGAAAAAAAATCATGAAGTGGTTCTCTAAAATTTGTTTAAAAACTTCCAATAACACGGCTCAGTCCGACACCAACCATTGGGCCATCCAGTTGCTGGTCTCACCGAAGCGTTCCACTCTGCTGTGTCCTCCGTTACACACTTGCTTATTTAGCAGCAGATCACCACTAGTGTGAGCGGTTCTCTGCTCAAGATCAGAGAAGGAGAAACAGCTGGCTGCTACCACTTCAACTTTAGTGTCCCAAACAGAAAAACACTGTTTAAAGTAACGAACAATAAGAGGTTTGGGAAATGGCGACTGGTGTTTAGCGCTCTCGTTTCCTCTAGCAATGCTGGTTCCAGCACCGGGGGCGTGGCCTAAAGATGATAGCCAACAGGAGGGGTGAAAGGTCTGTGACTGTGTTTGTGTTTAAAAGCTAGCTTGTTTTGCAGATTTGCCATTGCATCTCATTTCCATGTGTGATAAATGCCCAGCTCATCAGGGAAGGGGTGGGCGTGGCCAGCTCCAGCTTGTATTCATAGTGACAGAGCACTGAAACGACTCATTCTGGAGGGTACTGTAACTGTCAAGAATAAAACTGCTGAAAGGACTTCGTGTGAGGGCTTTAGAGTAAGCAATGTCACGAACATGGTATGAGTTGACTGTAGAGCAATTGTAACCAAAAAAAGAACCACAACATTTAAAGGTGCTAGTTTTTAAACTAAAATTAAAAAAGGCGTCGAGTCCTCTGAAAGATAAATACTCTTGAATATAGAAGTGTAAACCCAAGTAAAATCTATAAAGTGAGAAAAGCACTCCCCAGAGAGCCATCAGCATGTAGTAAGAGCAATGTGTTTTATTGATTTAGGATTAATTACGCTAATTGGGCTGCTGCCTCACAATTTCCACAGAACAAGAGAAAAACTCATTTCTACATGAGAACCGAACACTTACATTAAAATATTCTTAGAGAAACATCCTTGATTATTTAATCGATTTACCTTGGAAAATGGGAAACTAAAGATAAAAAAAAATTATCGAGCTACCAGCAACAAAAAACAAACAAACCAACCAACCAAAGAATAAGATCACAGGGTTGAGAAGAATGGTCAGAGGCACTGGTTTTAGAGGACGCTTCCCTCGACGGTGACAGGAAAACGTCCTCCTTTCTTCTTTACAGTATCAGAGAAGAGAAGCAGACAAGACGATGGCCGCTCAGAGGTCACACATGCACACTCGTACACACACACACACTCAAGCGGACAGGCTCTAATCCTTTAGATGTAGTGACACAGTTGAATGGCGCCCCCTATCAGCAGAGGAGGAACTACAACAAGCATTACAAGGGAAAGCCAAGGGACCCACACGTAAGATGGGACATGGTTTAGACGTGGCACACGGGACATTTAAAGAGACGGAGGAGAAGGTTTCAATGACTTCTGGCGTCACGGTCCAAATGTGCAATTTTAACAGCAGTTTTAGGGGTGTGCCATCAAAAGCAGCTGCTTCCACCTCCCTCTGAGGTCCGTTTTCTTTTAGACCACCAAGAATGGAAACAGAAGAGGAGGAGAACAGGAGCAAGGGACTAATTCACAGGTCGTTTGGGTTAACAATGGTAAAGTCGGAGTCTTTGCTGTGGGTGGAGCCTTCCTCTGGGCTGGAGGAGCCTGAGGTGGTGCCGGCCATCAACAGTGGGTCGTGAAACGTCCCAGAGGCACCCTCTGGCTCCAGTCGCACCACGCCAGGCCCTCTCCGGATGGGAAATAAGCGGTCAGACACAGACCCCGTGTCTCTGGCGTCAGCCAGAAGGTCTTCGTCCTGGGACACCAGGATGTAATCGTCCCAGTTCTTCCCCTCCGAGCCAAGAGAGGACACCACCTGCAAACGTAAGATTCAGATGTGGACATTAATAGAATTACCAGGAGCCTCATTTGTGAAGCTGGCTAATGCAAAAAACAGGGTCTGACAACCACACAAGTCCTTTTTTCTGTAAATGTGTGCTTTAGAGAGAAAAATGTGAAAATGTGCTCAACTTTAAGCTAACTCTTACCCTAGCGTAGCACATTTACAGGCTTGTAGACCCTCGAGCGCACACACACACACACACACACACACACACACACACACACACACACACACACACACACACACACACACACACACACACACACATGCTAGCAAGACTTAGCCGACAGCATGGTGTTTGTTCGATACGATGACGACATTTCCTGTTAAATAAATGTACCCCTTAGATCTGGATTATCTCGACAAGACCCGAGCACTGTTCTAGAGGGCATCAGTGATTATTGCCATCTTCCTCTTTTCCTCCACCTTCAGATCCGACCACTTCTTTATCTTATTATGACCACAACAAAACACTCTGTCACTTCCACAGACCACAGCTGCATTGCAATCAAACGTTTTCCATCCTCTACCTCACCCACAAGCATCTTGATTTCAGCCTCAGTGAAATTACATTTTCTAGTCCTCTCCGTTGCCAAGGTTACCTGAGAAATGCCACCGATCAGCCAGCCCATTTATGAAATTGCTTTGCATTGACCACTAGTGGCAGAAGGTGGGTGTGTAGGAGATGGTCCAGAAACCCCGGAGCTCATTTCTAGGACGGTGTGATTTATGTACGTACATCTAAATACTGCCTAAGCAGAGTTCTGGTAAAGAGTCTATAAATGAGCCCCTGAACATGACAGAGGTTCCTGCTGAATGAGAAGTAAAACTCACAGATAGGGATGCACCGATACCAATGCAGCTGCCTGAAAGTGTAACTTGTCATTTCTGTTCACCTCATATTTTAGTTTTCTGATCATTTCTAATAATATATTTTATTTTTTTCTACCTCACAATTGTTTCCTGTTGAAAGCAGAGAAGAAAATAAAGCCTGTATCCCAATCCATTGCACTTTTTTGTGTGGTAGAAGTAACGGTATCGGCGAGTACTCGGACCCAAGTATCGGCATCGTATCGGAAAACATCGGCATCAGTGCACTCACAGAGTTTCAAATATTTGTACTTTTTAAAAATTTTAAAATAATCCTCTGACTTAAAGCTGCAAAGGGATCAGATGGTAGATTCACGGTGCTGTGGACGTGGCGACTACATTTAACCCAAACTCAACCTAACGCGATGCTGACTCAGCAAACGGGGTCACTTCTAACAACGATGCTGAATTCTGAGCAAACCTTTTGCTGGATTAGTTCCAGACCAGATAGTTGGTTCTGGCCCGTTAAAGACCCAGTTTTAACTGTGAGAGGTCACACTACTAACCTGTTGGTTGGGTGGCGTTGCCGCCAGCTCCTCCTCCCTCTCGTCCGTGCTCATGCTCCCGTCCAGGTCGGAGTCCCGGCTCGGCCTCCCGGCTCCTCCTGCTTGCTTCTTGCTGTAATGGTTGACGGAGCTCAGGGTGGACTTGGCCGCTGACGCTGAAGAGGTGTAGTGATCGTCTGCGATGGTGATTTCTTCGTTCTCCTCGGCCTCCAGCTGACTCTGATTGAAGCGCAGCGCCCCCTTTAGGATGTCTTTGATCTGACAGGAGAGAAATGAAATGAAATCACAGAAACGGAACAGATGAGGTCTTGTGTAAAGATCCAAACCTGTTTAAGTCCAGCCAGTGAGACCAATACTTCATCCTCTTTACCCAGATTTTCCTGAAGAATCACTTCCTGGATTTTAACTGCAGAGAAGAGAATATTTGTAAGTCAGAACCTTTTGTTTCTCTGAATAAAGAAAAAAAAACACACGCAGAAAGACTAATTTAAACCACGTAAGTAATCAAAACTCAAGTTTTCTCTTATTTGAACATCTGGACATGAACTCACAGATGTGTGTGTTCATCATCTTGGCACAGTACTTGCTCATGGCCTCCAGGTCATTGATCTGACCCTGCAGGAAAGACACCTGAGCTTCCAGGTCCTCCTCCTGTCCACAAGAGCCAGACAAGGAGTTAAAACTGAGGGAGGTGACGGGAGTGGGACAAAGAGAAGAGCCACAGCTCACCGTCTCCCTCCTGCCCATGCTTTTACTGTGGGAGCGAGAGCGGGTGATGGTGAAGAAAGATTCCTTCTTTGTGGCAGAGAGAGGAGGTGATGAGGAGCTGACATCACTCCCTCTGGAGGGAGGTGGAGGTGGGGAGGCATTGGACTGACCACGCCCACCAGAGAGGCTCTCTGTGCTGGGGGAGGAGCTAACTGTCCTGGAGCTTTGGCCTAGGAGAGAAAAAAGGTTAAAAATTAACACCACTGTGCCTGACTGCACCACAGCATGTTAGGACGAGTAGAGAGGACCAAGAAAAATAAACCAGGAAACGAGGGTGAGATTTTATTATTATTAATAGATTATTATTTCTACTCTGTACCAGAGGAATAGAACCGTGCTTCTGCTCCAAGGCTCTGGGTGTGATTTTGCTGACTCAAAAAGAAACAATCTGGGGTTTTAAGGTAATCTGTGTGTCCACAGTAAAAGAGCTTCCTCCAATCTTTCAAAATAAGAGTCTCGATCAAACATGTCCCTCAAAACACTGCACTAAACAGAAAGTGTGTGTAAAAATCCTGCTGGCTTCTCCTCTTCAGGCTGATGTTTTCTATAGCGCCTCTCAAGACAAACATCACGAGGCACTTCACAAGAGCAAAAAAAAAAAAAGATTCAAAGGAATTGGAAAAGAATGGGAGAAAAAATTAAACAGTTTAAATTTAAATAAGAATAAAAACAAATAAAGTAAACAGGGAGCCCAAAAAATGCAGAACTGACAGAAACAGTGGCATGAAGAGAAGACGAGGATGAAGAGGTCACACCAAAGCCAACAGGTGAGTCTTCAGCTGCTTTTTAAAGGAGACCACCGAGTCCACTGATCTCAGGATCGGGGAAGAGAGTTCCAGAGTCTGGGGACCACAGCAGCAGATGATCTGTCACCTTTGGTCATTAGCCTGGTGCTGCACAACCAGTAGGCTTTGGTCACAGGACCTCAGGGACCTGCTGGGATAGTCTACTTTGAACTTTTTTTTGTCCGTAATAGTTAAAGTTAAAGTTCCATTAGTTGTCACACACACAGGTGTGTGTGCGAAATTTGTTCTCCGCATTTGACCCATCCCCTGGGGGAGCGGTGAGCTGCAGACACAGCCGCGCTCGGGAACCATTTGGTGGTTAAACCCCCCATTCCAACCCCTTCATGCTGAGTGTCAAGCAGGGAGGCATTGGGTCCCATTTTTTCAAAGTCTTTGGTATGACCCGACCAGGAATCGAACCCCTCATCTCCCAGTCTCAGGGCGGACACTCTACCACTAGGCCGCTGAGCTGGTTCCTAAACTTTTCAGTGAACCAGTTTATTTTCCCTTTATTGTCACTAATATGCAGTCAATTGATTGTTAACTATTAGGGTGATGACCTTAAATAACCTGAAGACGTGCAGCAAACTGAAAGTGAAGCCCTTGTGTCACAAGAGTGTGTGTGTTCCCTCAGTGGGAGGAGAAACGTGTCACAAGAACTGGTCTTGTGCACACCAGCTGTGATCGCCCTCTGCTGGCTGCCACATGCACATGCACACAGCTCAGAAGCAGAAACATGCACAGCCAGTGACTAGATCTTTGTCAGATCAGGGTGGTGTGTCACACCAGTGGTTGCCAGGGCAACAGTTACCTTGTGCGTCAGTCTGAGTCTGTGTTGGGAGAGAAACTCCACCTGAAACTCCATCTAGCAGACAAAAGAGTCAAAGCTGATGCTGCCACTCGAAACAACATGCAGAACATTAGTAGATGATCGGTTACGTTTCTCCTGCTCACCTTTGCTGAGGTGGGCCGGCATGCTCTCAGACTTAAGCAGGCGGTAATTGTGAGGTTGGCTTTGTGTCGGCGCTGCAGTGGGAGGATCAGGGAGAATGGGTACAGCTGCTGAGGGGAAAGACGTGGATGTGGGTGAAGTAGAGGAGGCATACACCTCGCTGTTGATGGGGGAGACACCTCCAGAGACGCCAGACACGGCCGGAGAGATGAGCTTCCTGCCGAAGCTCAGCAGGCTGCTGGACACCTTGTTGATGTTGATGGGAGCAGCTTTGGTCCCAGAGCCAGCTCTGCAGACAGACAGGACCAAAACCATAGCAACGGGATTTTAATTCAGCTGGAAGAAACTTTGTTTCCTCACTAAGTGTTTAACTTCACCTGCTGATAAAGTAAATAAATCATAATGCGCTAACAGCTAGTCCAAACTGTACAGCTATTGTCTTAAAGAGACAATGTGTAGTTTTTACCCTTAGTTTCTGGAAATATCCATCAAAATGTTGTTGAAAATGAATGAAATGATGCCCAGTTGTTGAAAACTATTGGCCGCTTCATGACATAACCATAAAAATCTGGTCTAAAACACATGGCAGTGGGTCTAAGGGAGTTTCTCAATGCCAAGGAACCTCGCCTTGATGTCTTGGCCCCGCCCCGGTTGCCTAGGAGATACGTCATCAGGAGCCGCCAAGACGTGTTCCAATGTTCATGTTCTACCGAGGAGTGTGTTCTCCGTTTGTTAGCCGTTTAGCTAGCTGAGCAAGGATACACGGGAGGTGTCTTGTAGCCTAGCCTTGGTCAAAAATTACCCAGAATACACCGCTGTATTTTCAAAAGGATGGCGGATCAGAAGCCGGCAGCTACTTCTGGGGCAAATTTCAAGTTTAAAAGTAAGTCAACTAATTTAAAATGTTTTTTAGATCCAAAGAAGTTATCTATGGTTGGTTAGTTGCTTACTAGTTGCAGCTTTGGTAGCTAGCGGGTACTAACTCAATTATATATTTTATTTAACAGATATATACACAATTTAAAAAGTAAAAGGGTCGTTATATATTTATATTAAAACTAATACATATAAAATATAAGGCTGTCTCCCGTGTCACATGACATTACGTGACCGCCTTGGAAGCCGCGGTCATGTGATGAAAGTCTGTTCCATTTAACCGTTTTATTTGACCACTGAAGGACAGTGTCCTCGTAAGCAAGGCGCCTGGCCTCACAAGACATCGCCTTTCAAGGCCAGGTGCCTTGACATTGAGAAACAACCTAAGTCTCTGGGCAAAGTCATATTAGATGCCATGTTTCCTTCTATGGGAGCCCATGAGGATAAAATGCATTTACTGATTTGTAACAAGCGGTTACAAAACATTCGTCATTCTTAAATGCTGTTTTACACATTTACCTCTTCACTAGTTGCCAGTGATGACCGGGAGTCTTATGTGCTTGTTATTTTGCTAAAATTAGCACTCCCCAGGGCTTTTTGACCCTAATGGGCATCCATTGGAAAGGTATTACTCCAAGACAAAAATACTGCTTGCTTGCAATGATTTAGGTATCTACTGCCCCTATCGCCAGGAAAAATACACAATGTCACTTTAAAGCGGCTCCAGTTTCTTAAATGATAGTTATTTCTAAACCTTTACACCATCATCAGTTCTGCATCATTTAGGCAGAAACAAAGAAATTCCTGCTGGACCAAACCCCTGCATGCAGCTGATGAGTTACCTACAATAACCAGGATGGTAATTAATCAACTTTAGTTGTTTTTAATTGAACCGCTAAAACTTCTGTGTCTGTGCTGTAGAGAAGAGGTGTGTTTGTGTGCTACCGGCTCTTGTTCATGAGGTCGGCTCCTCTGGTTTTATAGTAATCCAGGTTCTGTTGGAACTGATAGTTGACTGGGCGAGGGTTGTTCTATGGAAAGAGACAAAATAAGGAACATTCTAGGACCAAAAATCTAAACAAGGAAATACAGCAGCAACTCTGGCCTGAAACACTTTCAGAAAGTTTTGTGTTGAGGAAACTGACAACGTGTGAACTGGTAGTTGTGTTTTCACTCTGACTAACCAGCAGCTCGTGCTACATGAACACTCGTAGGAGGAAGTGGCTCATCGTGTTTTCAACTTATCACTGATAAAAGGGACCTACATGTTTAATGCAGGACGCTCCGCGGTAGGTAAAATCAGAATAAAAAGAGCTGACAGTCAAAGACGAGCAGCAGAGTTTTAACGTCCACTCTGTAGTTATTTCTGAAAAGACCCATTATGGCAGCTTTAAAAGGTACAATAAGTAAGATTGTCCTCAAAGAGTCTTATGTCTCAATCACGTTGGATAGAAGGTTACATTTAGTGATGTCCCGATACAACTTTTTCACTTCTGATACGATACCGATATTGCAGCCGTCAGTATTGACCGATACCGATATCAATCTGATATGATATCAGCACAAATCATCCATACCATATTTTCACGACCATAAGGCGCACCTAAACGTCTTAAATTTTCTCCAAAATGTACGCCGCGCCCTATGGTGCAGTGCGCCTATTGTGTTGTTGTGAGACGCGAACGTAGTAGAAGACAAGGGGCGTGGCATGATCTGTGACTCCATGCGCGCTCATCTCAAGAACGGTGTGAAAAAACAGATCACACTATTTTCTTAAGCCTATTAATAACATACATGATTTTGTTCATGTGGAAAGTTTATGTGGTTAAATCCACCAACTACCGGTAAACACATTCTGAACTTCAACACAGCGCATAAGAAGAGCACGAGCCGTCAGCGCACGCAATGAGGAAGTGCACGTGCGCTCTAAACCAGGTCTGAACCAGGACTAGACCAGTAAAGTGAAACATGCTTTTGACTGTTTATAATTTTCACAGTGTCTGGTTTGCACTGATATGTTCCGAGTCCCGAGCCTGCACAGATGTTTTACCGGTACGTTTTACCGTGCCCGCGCCCTATAACCCGGTGCGCCTTTTGTATGTGTTAAATACCAAAATGACATCCGTAACTGAAGTTGCGCCCTATAACACTGTGCGTCCTATGGTCATGGAAATAGTGTGGAATGTATGAAAGGCTTGCTCAAGTGATATTACTCAATTGGAGAACATGAGCCAATAACAGTTAGTATGAAAAAAACAAACAAATTTTTTTAACCATTGCTTGCAAAAATGCAAACCTTAACGGACTGCTTATATCGGAGATTTTTGATGCTGTCCGATATAATGTTTTTGGACCGATATCAGAACGGGACATCCCTAGTTACATTGAAACAGATTTCCTTTTAGCCGGCTGGGGTGTTGTTGGTTTATCTCCTTTTAAAAAGGCCAAAGGGGATGTAGTCTTTGTTTAAAGTCTGTGAGTTTGTGAGTCTGTGCCAAGCTAAAGTAGCAGCACAGATATTTGTGATTCGACACCAGCACACAAAAAGCTCCAGAGTTGTTTAAAGAGCCAAAACAGAAGTTATTTCTTGTACCCACGAGAAGCCATGGCATCTTTTTGTTTTACCTTAATATCAGGCGAAGCACGCTACAAGCTAACGTTGAGCTAACAATGCTAACGGTGAATTATAAGCAGCTATAAAAATACCCCAAGCTAATTTTTTGATTACCAGCAACTGGATTTACAGTGAAATTTATGTGTGAAGTGAATAATGAGACAATGGTGGCGTTTTACTTCCTTTAATAAGTCGTTCAGAACAACAACAGCAAGCTAACAGCAAGACGCCAAACAACCACACTTCCTCTAATGCTCGAAAATCATTACTGTAATAAGTGTAGTAAGTGCTCCTACCATAAAAACCCAAGAGTGCCAGCACCAGATATGACAACGTATTGATTTACTCAGCCTAATGTGTATGACTCGTCTTTTCTTGTCATCTAGAATCTCCTGGTGCTGATCCGTAACTGCAACACTCATGAAACTCACTGAGCAGCTGAGAAAGTAGCTTTTTGTTTTTAAAATGGACTGCAGTACCCAAATTTGATCACATGACACAATTTTTAATACTTACAAATTGCACCTTTAACTAATATTTTTAATAAGATAATTTCATGTGTTTCTTTTCAGATATTTAGTAAATATTTGGCTGCATATAAACAGCTAATAAAACTGATTCTCAGAGTTTAGTCTGAGTTAAAAATATCTTTTAAAACATTTGATCTTTTCATCAAATTTGTTTAATGTTTATCAGAAAGTCATCTAGTAGCTGTTGAGAATAAATGTTTATTCATTTCTATTTTATCACCTTGTTTTCATAGCAATAGTTATGACTAAAGCAAAAATGTCTGAAACATTGATAAAAGCTATTTAACGAGCAAAAATACATCATTTTTGTTAACCTCTAAACTAAATTTAAAGCTCTTCTTCGACAACGTGATAAAACCTCTCAGTTTTTATTCAGTTCACAGAAAAAAACGTATTAGCATTTATTTCCTTTTTGCTGTCAGGCACCGACATCACTGAACCATGATGTAGTTTATATGTTTCTCAGGCTGTGTGCTTTATTGGTTCATGGAAAGACCGTTATGAAAGAGTGAATGAATAAAATGATCAATCTGACTTGGTCGGAGTATTTTAGTCTTAAGTGAAGAGTTGCTAATCTGTGTCATTTAGAGCTTTCAGATTAAAATTGTACTAACCCTACCATAAGGTATGAGTATCAAACGCAGCGACACAACCTCCAGTTAATAACCTGCGAGTTCACCTCTCTGGCTGCACACGCGCTTCATGCATTTCCTGTAAAACTGCAGTGAACCAGAGGAAATAAAACTTTTGCTGCCAGCTTTTTCATGTTTTTTATTTTGTTCAGCCTTATCACTTTGTCACAGCCCTCCAAGATGTGTCTCTTTCCCTGTCGAAACCAGAAGACTGCAGCTCAGGGAGATTTGCATGTGGGCGTTTCACTACTGCAAATCTTTTCCCACTGAATGAAAAATCAAGTAAATCCCTCTTAAGGCGTAGCAAACACCAAATATCCAGGATGTAGGAGGAGGAACTGCCAAGCTTTAAACACCAATTTCATTCCAAATTGCTCCCTTATTTAGTTTGTGACAAATCAGGCAGCAGAAAACCTGCAACTGCAGAACTTTCTGGAAAACCGTAGTTAGGAAAAAAAAAAACAACTTGGATTTTATTCTGGTGACTTACTTTTGGATCTCGGAGGAACAGAGCCTTCTGCAGCAAAGCATTGATATCGCCTGTTGGAGGGTAGTGCATCAGCAGACCCAGGCAGGTCTGGAAGTTACTAGCAATTACTGAAGACGAGAGAAAAAACACAGTAAATGAAAATATGGTTAGGGTCCGGTCTACTCCAGCTACTCCTCATGACAGGAGGAGGAGAGCCTCTAAAGCTTTACTCAGATCTAAAAAGACAAATCTGAACAGAAAAGGCCCAGAGGAGCCCGGCTGGGAGGGAAGAACGTTCTCAGGTGTGACTGAAGAGCTGCAGCTCACATCTAAAGGAACTTCAACTGGCTCCAATTTCCACTAAAGATACTTCAAATAAACGTTTAAAAGCAGCCTAAACAAACTATGGGTGCTTGTTTTAAGCTGAATATGTGACCAACATAATCCTTATAAGTTATAGTTTTGTTATAACTACTTCTCCTGGTTAAATGACACTTAGCTGTTTTTTGTTTATACTCTTGTGCAATTAGCCCATTACTGATTTTAATAAAAAATGGTTTTAAAATGTCCATTTTGTTGATCTACAGAAATAAAATCCATGTTATTGTAAGTCAGGAGTCTGTAATCTAGCTACATGTGAGCAAAAACGACCCGAATCCTGAATGTTGTTGAAACCAACAATAAAAAATTAGGATTTTAGGTTGTTTTTCTGTAATCTAGTGAAGGTTTTAACCTCATAATCTCATGCCGGCCCATGCCTAACTGTGCTCCAGTTTTAACATGAGATGCTTTATCTAAACGCGTCTGAAAACCTGGTGGACCAACACAGCTTGAATCACGACCACGCTCGTACATCAGGCAGAAATGGTCCCATCTATTCTGCTCGGAGCAAAATGACTCCACATAATTAACCGACGCAGAATAAATCCTGTTCTTTCAGATGAGTGCCTCTTATGAAATTACAAGTCACAATCCCACGGCTGCTTTGGGTTATTTAGGTCATTAATAAGCTTACAAGCATCTCGGATGTAGAGCAGCATGGCCACGAAGATGTAGTCCACCAGGTCCAGGGTGATGCTGTCAGCAAAAAGAGCATCCCACACCACCAGAAGGTCCTGAAGAGGAAACTCACGGCCAAACAGCAGGCGGACCCAGCGGCTAGGAGACAACAGAGACAAGGTGCCTGAATCTGAGCAGAGGGGAGAGCCGAGGAAATGCCTGGGAAAGACGAAAGGATGTAAATACTTAGAATACTGACATGCCATAGATTTGGGGGGCAATCTCCAGCCGGTTTAGGTGCATGTGCAGTTCTACGTCGTGCTTCTTCACCAGCTGGTCCTGGATACGGTTGACTTTGGTCACAATGGCAACAGACGGCCCAGAGTCCTGGGGCCGTGCGAAGGGGATGCTGGTCAGCATCTCCTCCTTCCCCTGAGGTAGACGAGCATCATTTCATCAGATTTACAGAGTTTCACAGAGATCAGGTTTATCCGACCACTCGGCTCCTGATCCCTACGCTGGTGTGTCACACACCAGCATGTCTGTTAAATGCAAGTCTTTGTGCCAGGATTACAGAACGAAGGAGCCCAGCTGTTTAGAATGAAACATTTTGTTTATCTAAAATTCACTCTATCGCCAATTTTAAAGCTACAATGGCAAATCAGGAAAACAAGCTAGCCGAAAACACGTTTGTCTCGCCTCTTAACAGCATTCTAAGGTCTGGAATATACTTGTTTTTAGCCTCGTGTTGGTGCAGGCTGCAGCTCTGCGTCGGTTCACATACTTGCTGCTGGAGGATTCCCCTAGGGGGCACAGTAGAGGAAAGGCTTTTAGCTTCTACTTGTGGTTTTAAAGACATGTTAGAGTAATTTAGAACAGCGGAAAGAGCCGCAGCGACATGTTTGTGAGAAACTCAGCGTTGTGGTGTGAGTGTGTGTGTGTGAGACGTACGCTGCTCAGCGCTGATTGGCTCGGTCAGACTTCACCGGGGGTGGGGTTATTTGAATGGCTGGCTGGTCAGGCTACAACATTTCCGAAGCTGAATCAGTTTTTGAACTCTGAATTTAACCAACTGTTAAATCTCACCTTTGTGCACTTCTCAGTGTTAAAGTCAGACACCTAAATAACTTTAGAGTATTTACTATGCAGATGTTATTAGTGAAAGTCAAAATACCTTTAAATTGAATTCTGCAATAGCTGCCCGAGGATGTGCCCGACTTTAAATCAGCTTTACTGAGGACAACCATCGGCCTACCCCTGGTACGAAAGACCTCTAAAACAGAGATGGAGTGACCATGGTGAGTGCGTCTCGCTCGTTTTGGTTACTCCGATTCTGCAGCATTCAAAAGCGTTGCGTTCATTTCGGGGGATGCGCACAAACAACGCTACAAATCAACGCAAGTTAGACAAGGCAGCCATTTTAAACACGCGTACGCGGCGTTAAACAGCAAGCGTCTTCCAGGCCTTACATGGTATAGCTATGACTACTACTGAACCCGTCTCAACCAACTATTGTTCCAGTGAACTCGCTCTAAAAAACAACTGCCTTGATCTGAATTAGCCAAAAGACACCTGCCGTTACCACGGCTACGAGCAGTTTGAGTCAAATCCAGCAGGACCTTTATGTGCTTTAACCCCAGGAAGGCTTGTATCAGGCAGGAAACTGACCTTCCTCACTTCCCTCTCAAAGCTGGAGAACCACGGCTCTGCTGTGTCCATCAGGTGTGAGAACATGGCACTGCACAGGAAGAAGAATCGTGAGTGTGTGTGTGTGTGTGTGTGTGTAGAGACAGAGGAGATAAAACACTCTGAACAGATTGCCTTTACTCACTAAGCATCGTGCTCCAGGTACGCCGGGTTCAGCAGACACTTCATCTCCTCACTGTAAAAGTAAAACGACCCGATGGGCGTTAAAATCAAGGCGCAGCTCAAAGAATTACAGAAAAGTTGCATCACTTTTGTCAGAAAGTGAGCCTCGTGGATTATAATGATTCATCACACAGAGAAATATCTCAAGCCTTTGTTTCTCATTGTGATGATTATGGCGACAGATGAGAAAACTTCAGTGTCTCACAAAATTTGAATTGTGCTATCTGGACTTTATACATGCAACTTTTACAAATCTTGGTAACCTCCCAACCTCAGCACAGACAAAGATGTGGGGGGTCCCTGAGGGGCCACAGACCCCAGGTTGGGAACCACTGTTGTAGCTCGCACCCTACCTGTGAAGTAGAAACATTAACAACATTGATCATTTCTTCAAGCTTCAGACTCATCAGTGCGATGATGGCAGAAGAGTTAACTGCATGCCCTGTAACTGGAGGGTTGCAGGTTTGAGCCCCATCTGTCACAGTTGTTGTGTCCTTGAGCAAGACACTTAACCCACCATCTCTGCTGGCGGTGGTCTGAGGGACCGGTGGCGCCTGTATTCAGCAGCCCCTTAGTGCCCCGGGGCAGCTGTCGCTCCGTTGTAGCTCATCACCCCTAGCGTGTGAATGTGTAGGCGCGTGAGTGACTGGTTGTGTTGTAAAGTGCCTTGGGGGGTTGTAGAACTCTAGTAGGCACTACATCAAATACAGGCCATTTACCTTTCATCAGCCTATCTGACGAACGTTAGTAATCTTGTCTTTTCACGTTGAGGCTTCTTCAGACCCGCAGAATGCTACTGCCCACAGCCATCAGCACATGTACCACTTCATCGATAGCCTGGGCCTCACCCTCACGTTTGATTTAGCTTAGGTCTTTACGTTGGAGGCCCTTCACGACACAAGCCTCTGCATTTATCCAGACTCACCGGCACAAAGAATCGCTGCTTTGTGAACTCTTTTAGTTGCATTTGACCTCGCTTTTCTTATCTGTAACCACAATCATCGCAGCTATAGGAAACAAAATGAGACGTGCTTGCACATGGGCTGGATGGTAGCTGAATGTTCCAGAGCTGAGAAGAGACTGACCTCGGGCTGGAGGTCTCGCTGGCGTGCTGGAAGGCCTGATGGTCGCAGTGCAGCACAAACACGATGGGAGCCAGCAGCTCGTGCATCCCCTGCGCGCGCACGCACACACACATGCACGCGCACACACACACACACACAAAACGTACTTATGAAGGTAAGTCAGAGAGAAAATGCACTTCATTTGCAGTCTGTCTTTCTTTAATAATGATGCACGAGGTTTCTAATCTGTGATGGCAGCTTTAATTTAGACGTTATTAGCCGCTGCACTGCCATGTGTCACTTCCACTTTGCAGAGAGGAGGTGCTCTGCACACCATCGCTTGTCCTCACTGGCACCTGACACAGACACCCATAATGATCAGGTCACCATCTCACTCACTCACACACACACACACGCACGCACGCACACACACAAACACACACACACACGCACGCACGCACACACAAACACACACACACACGCACACACAAACACACACACACACGCACGCACGCACACAAACACACACACACACACACACACACACACACACACGCACGCACGCACGCACACACAAACACACACACACGCACGCACGCACGCACGCACAAACACACACACACACACGCACGCACACACACAAACACACTCACACACACACACACGCACGCACGCACGCACGCACGCACACACAAACACACACACACACACACACACACACACACACACACACACGCACGCACGCACGCACACACAAACACACGCACGCACGCACACACAAACACACACACACACACACGCACGCACGCACACAAACACACACACACACACACGCACGCACACACAAACACACACACACGCACGCATGCACACAAACACACACACACACGCACGCACGCACACACAAACGCACGCACACACAAACACACACACACACGCACGCACGCACACAAACGCACACACACATGCACGCGCGCACACGCACGCACGCACACACGCACGCACGCACACACGCACGCACGCACGCGCACGCACGCACGCGCGCGCACACACTCACTCACACACACACACGTGTACACTCACACTACCTGTTTATACAGTAACTGCTCGTTTTCTCTGGCATAACAGAAAAGAATGTCTGTCAGCTTGGTCCTCACATCCTCATCCTGGAAGTATCGGATCTCAGGGAATCTTTGGCAAATGAAGAGAAAAGATCATTCCTCAATGCTAACGACAGAAAAAACAGGCTCAGAAAAGCGGGGGAGGTGTAGATCCACGTACGTTCTAAACACATCCTGCTTGATCATCCCCTTCAGCTCTTTATCCTGGAAGAACTTGTTCCACAAGCTCTGAAAGCACAGGAAAACAAAACAAACGCAGAAGAAATCAGAAGCTTGTAGAAAGTAAACCTAATCTACTCAGACTCCATTTTTGACCCGTTTCTAATTTTCTGTTTATTCACATATCAGCACATCAGTTAATGAGAATCCATCAACAGGAAGAGTCGAGCGTTAACTCAGCACCAAGAGTTCATGTGACTGACGCAGCTCTCCAAATGCCACCAATTTAATGAAAAACTAAACTAAATCCAAAAACTGTTTAAAGGAAAATAACACGACCTGCACGTTTATAATTTCTAAAATAATTACATTAACTAACAAAAGGTCTTGTGTTTGACGCTAATAACCGCCAGTCATGAATAAAAATCAGACCCCAACATAACAGAGGCTAAAAGGATTAGAACATGTACACATGCCCAGAGCCTCACCCCTTCATCCTGAGACAGAGGGTTGTTGACCACCAGGTCCTGCTGGCCGGCCGCCTTGCGGGGGTTAGTGATATGCTGTAAGAAATATCAAAGAACAGTAAACAATGATTGATTCCTTCACTATAGTATGGTTTAACTTTTTCAAAACGCATGCTAGTAACTGGGTTTATTCAGTTCCTTGTTGCTAAGTAGAATCACTTCAGTACAACACAGTGAGATCTTCTAAGCAACAAAAAGTGGAATATGTTAGGTTTGTTACGGTGTCTTCCTTATGGCTTCTTTTGATACGGCAGCTACAGAAAACAGAACAGGTTACGTGTCGGCATGAGGATGCTGATAACTAAATTATTCGAAATGTGTAGAAGCAACACAGGCTCACCCCTTGAGTTAGAGGACTTTTTCATAGCTTTAAAGGGGACTTATTATGCAAATATGACATTTTTCTTTGTGCTGTCATGAGTCTCTACTGCCTCTATAAACACCCAGCCACATGTTTCTTGCTGTTAAGAGTTTTCCTCTCCACTGTCGCTACATGCTTGCTTAGTATGAGGATTGCTGTAAAGGCTTACAGCTGTGCTTTGACATAAAGTAGTCCCAAGTCTAAAACAGCATCTGTGATTCCTTTATGTTACTAATTATCATCACTTGCAGTCAGTCTGATTATTTAGGTCACCAAGCAGAATTAGGATCGCTACCGAGTGATTTTAAGGACGCTTTTACTCACAATGCTAGCTGGACCCATTCACTTACTGTGTTTTATGCTAAACTAAAGCTAAATGAGGACAGCCAGGTCAGGAGAATTACTGGGCTGGTTAAAAACTGTTTACCCCACTTATGGGGAATGATGTCAACAGACAAAATGTAAATTTTGGGTGGAATATCCATATAACGATGATGCTGCTGGTAGAGAAAGCAGGAATGTAACTTGTAATTTCTCATTTTTACTGTGAAATGACTCACATCTGGTAAATGGCCCACTTACTGTCTCTTTGATCTTCTCATACTGGGCCCGCAGCTCCTTGGTCCTGTTGATCCACTGCCCCTTATTTTCAGGAAGAACCTCCAGGTATATCTGCAGACACACAGTGGACAGAAACATTCTCATTGAAATAAACAAATACGTTTCTTTTAGTCTGACACAAATAGAGCATCGTTTTAAACTTTGAGCTCAAGCTTTACCCAAATTCATTTAAAAAGAACGTCCTTCTGTGGAAATAAACTGACCAAAACCCTTCAGCAGTTACCTTCCAGCACACACTTCGGAAGCGGCTGCTCCTCAGTCGCCCGCTGATGCCAGCCTGTCGGATCCTGGCCAGGTAATTACTGTTCAGGAACAAGTCATCCCATTCTTTCCTGAACGGGGTGGGGGAGGGGGGTGGGGAGATTTATGAGCTTCTTGAAACAACGTGGAGACAGTTTCTCATCTAAAGCGCCAATTGGTAGCAGACATGGTGAACGTACCTGTAAGAATGGAAGGTGGACTGACACTGTGAGTTTGAGCTGCTTTCAAGAGATCCTCCTGATAATACGAGAAAAGAGGATTCAATACCTGCCAACGCTAGCTCATTTTAGGATCATTAACATAAAAGAAAAAGATGTTTTTATCGACTCCAGTTGACCTAACAGGTGTAATTATGAGGCTTCCCCCCCCCCCCCCAAAGAGAAGAAGTGGAGCAGAAAACAGCCGTAAGCCAAAAGGGCATGACACAGTAAAGTAAAGCTCCGTATTTCCTCTTTACTGGAAATGATAAATCTAATTTAGCCTGCAGGTGAACACGCATCCAAGTCAGAGAGCTGTCTGTCAGCGTTAGCTAAAGGAAGTCGATCACTCTACAGGGACACTCAGAATATTCGTCAGCTCCACAACGTGCCTCGCTATAAGATTTTCATAAACACAAAAACACCTAGAGGCTTTGCTCGTCACGTCTGAGTCACACCCCAGTCAAGTCAGATTTCCACGTCTCCTAAAAAACACCCCTCATTTAAACTAACAGGCCCAGGAGGATATTTAAATTTACGGTTTGACACCAGGAGTTGACGTACTGCTGCGATTCTTGTTGAAGTTGTGAAGCGGATCAAAACCCGTCTCCTGCTGCTCCTCTGTCTGGAGCGGGTGTCGAGTCTCAAAATTGGGGTGCTGCATGACTTGAAGTGCGATTACAGAGAGAGAGAAAACACAAATACACAGATTACGGTTCTGAGATTATTTCATTCACTGTTCACATGACTAAACAACTACACATCACCCCCTTCACCCTCTGAAACAGGCAAACAAATGGAGACGAGACGGAAAAAATATCGGTTCGGTTTAATTTATCGAACCGATATGTTAAAAAATGACTACATCTGCCGATACCGATATTGATTCCGATATATTGTCCATTCCTAGTCTAAATAGTGTTTGAGTCTAACGTCTTTGGGGGACACCATATTAGACTCCATGTTTCCTTTTGCGCCTGTCGATGACATCACACCAGATGATTGGCTGGATGTACAACTTACGGAAGTGACGTTACCACATTTAAAAACTCTTAGTCAGCAAGAAACACAAAATGAATAACATACTGCTAAACTCTTTCCAATGCATATGTGAAAGAACCGAATGGAAAAAGAGGTGCAATATATTTTAGCCGCGCGGCGATGCCGTAGCATGACGACATCACTGGCAGGCGCAGGACCCCGAGAAGATACGGGAAGTACGGCGACAAAAACAATATTTTATCTTCTGTTTCAGTTCCTTAGATTGGTCGTGTTTTGTTTTAGCCTGTGCAGCACTTTGGGCAGCTCCCATGCTGCGTTTTAAACGTGCTATATAAATAAACTACGGTATGGTATAAACGGCATTGTATTTTCTCGATGGAATCAACTGTCTTAGGAGTCACGCCGAGGTTACATGCTATCTGCTCCACAGGTAACAACATTGTCTGTAATGTATTTTACACTAACGATATGGTGCAAAACTACCCTAGAGTGTACAGCACCCCAGCGGCAGGAAACTACGCACTGCCACTTAGGTGAGCGAGGGGAATGGAGCTAGAGTTTTGGCTAACAAAACTAATCACAACAGGATTTAGAAAATATGCTTTATCTCTACGTATGGTCACTGGGATGAGATGTCATATCACACAGCCTTTAACGGGGATGGTATATCTCCAAGAAGTTGAAAAAATAGATTGAGATATTTTTAGAGCAGACTATTTGCTGTTAATTCACAGTTAGCATTTTTAGCGCAACGTTAGCCTCTAGTTTGCTTCACCCGATATTGGAGTAAAACAAAAACATGCCGTGGCTTCTTAGAGGTACAAGAAATAACTTATGGGTTGCTCCTGTTACTGGCTGACATGCTTTCCACAACGCCGCTGCTTTTTTGTCCGCCGCTATTGAATTACAAATGCTCTCAGAGACTTGGCAACCTTGTGGGCTCAAATATGATTGGCTCTGGAACCAGGAAGTATGAAGGCAGGACAGAGAGAAAAGACTACACCCCTCTTATGTCAATTTGAAAGGTGAAAAACTGACAATCCCTCAACCGGCTAAGTAGGAAATCTGTTTCAATGTCACCCAATCCAACATGACTGAGACATTAAGACTCTTTTATAATTATTTTACTGTATAATTATTACATGCTGCATCTTTGATGGTGTGGATCACTAAAAATGTTTTAAATATTATGTCTGATTCTAATGGGTCACTCTGTGTTTCGTGCAAGCTGAACATGAAAATAGTCGCCTACACCTATCTCCTGCATTAGCTCTGACAGAAAATAGACGATGAAACTCTAGGATTAGGAAATCCTGACAGACGTACGTCACACTGTCACTAACATTCATGGACTCACCCATCTTGACTCACGACAGGGAAGGCTGTTGCTGATTTAGCGCCCAGGAAACGGCAGAGAATGTCTCATCACTAGTCGAAGTTAACTGTTAGCATTAGCAACCCCACAACACAGCAGAACTCCTCCAGGCTTGTGTTATTTGTGAAAATAAAACATCAACGTTGCAGCGCACACACTCAGTGGTGGAGTCATATTGCTGTTTTCCAATCCGAGGTAAATGTCTAAATATCAGGAAATAAGACTCAAAAGCTAATTTCTCCGACTTGTCCTTCATGATTCAGACTCATCTCTAACTCATTCTTTAACTCATCTGAACCCCGACTTTCAATGCGTTTCGGTATTTCAGCCATTAATTTATGTCAATTTCCCCCATTAATGGTTTATTAAATGAACTTTGCCTTTAGTCTGTATTAAAATCTTAAAAATGTTTTCCACTAAACGTTGCACGTCTGACCTGAGTACTTACTTTCACAGCTTTGGGACCCTCCTCAGTCACGACTCAGAAGAACAGGAAGTTTCTGTGGAAAGAAGTCAACACAACAATAAACCAAGCGTCTGAAAGCTGGGAACAAAAACAAAGGTGTTAAATGTGAGTCGGTGTACTAAAGGCCACCTAAAAGAAACACCTTAAGGTTTTCCTTAACACTGACATTACTTAGCTGAGATGACCAGGAAGTGTTTGAGAAGCTGATGTTCCAGCTGAGCTAATTAAGTCATCAGGCAAATTCATGCACCAGTTAATCAGGCTTTGTTCAACACAGAAGAATATAAATTGTAGTAATTCTGAGATAATAAAGATAATTTCAATGAAATCAAGATCATCTGCGTGTCTTCCAACCACTGACCAGTTTAACAATTTGCTTGCGCAAGCTCGACTAATGTTTCAACACCGTCTGTGTCTTCGCCAGAGGAAATTTCTTGCATGTTGTTTTTTTTATATTATTGAGAACCTCATTAGCTCCCACCCTAGTGTGGAGCTATTCTTCCTGAGGTCTCTTCCAATTTCATTACAAATATTTTACACCCCCCCCCCCACACACACACACACACACACCCCACAACAACAAACTCCAGGAGCTCCATTATAATCATACTAGCTCAATTGCAATAATGATATACCAGTAAGTTACCACACACTTCAGCGTTCATGAAAAATCTAAATAAGTAAATATGGAGTGTTTACACAGAGCAATAAATAAATATATCCAAGAATCAAAAATCATATCACATCACATCCATAACAAACAAAAATTATAGAAGCTGTCATATTAGTCACATTTACAATTCATTGTGCAAAACTTACTGTTGTGTAAACAAAAAAGCTTTAACTTCTTTTGAAAACATCTTCTGTTATTCTCTAATAATAAAAGTCTAGGTATGGCATTCCATGCAACCACGGCTCTGTAATAAACCGCTCTTTGCCTGTGATTAGTTCTGCAGCGCGGTAGTGCACACCTTATGTCACTTGTCTGTCTCGTCATGTAATCATGATTGTCCAAAAAAATGATAACTTGTCATAAATTATTCTAGGTATTTTTGTAGTTATTATATTTCTTATAAATGTTATCAGTGAATACGTTAATCTACATTTCACTGTTAACCAGGCCAACCTATCGTGCATCATACTTACATTTGTTCTATACTTACAACCCAGAACAATTCGTGCAGCTTTATTTTGTGCCACTTGTAACTCATATAAAATCAGTTCACTTGTATTAGACCAAATAACATGCATAATCTAAATGAGACAGTACTAATGTTTCAACTAAAGTTTTTATCAGCAAACGAGGAATAAATTTACAACAATAATTGACTGTGCCCATACTTCTTCCAAGTTTCAGCAAGACATGATTTATGTGACTAGTCCATGACAATCTAGAATCCAAAAATTACCCCCAACAATCTTGCTTCTTCTACCTGCTCTATCTCCATATTACCTAGCTTCAAACGCAGTCTAGGTGTCATCTGTAGTGTATATTTATTTCCAACTTTCATACATTTAGTTTTCTCTGTATTGATTTCCAGTTTGTTCATTCTAATGTTGAGGTGTTTTAACATTCAGCACCACCTCAGGGCCCAATGATGGATCAAAATAAACAACCTAGTGCTCGGGACAGGCCTTGATGTTATTATTTGTACGAGCTGCACTGCAGTGAGGTCTGCTGTTGTCAAAGGAAGGGAAGAAAAACAAATTGATTTCCACCCGATAGAGAAATTCTCTTTAATAATTGTCATTTAAATATTGACCTAAATAATCAGTATTCTGATTGTTCCTGAATTACACAGCCCTACAAAAAATGCTTACTTTAATTAAGGTCTGTCTGGTGGTTTACAAGACTTTTGACTTGACTTTAAATTGTTTTTGGCAAGGTTTGAATCCAAAAGCTAAAAAGCTCAGTTAATGAATGACTCTGACCTGACACCAAATTTGAGCCATTTCCAATTCATTGGGTGTCTTATCTGGAGTTTTCCCCCTTTCAGGAATTGTGTACCATTTCTTTTAGAAATCAATCAAAATCAAAGTCTCTTATTTATTGCAAAGCTGTCCCCCATCCCGTAAAGCCCCGTGCAATCTGAACTGACTGCCGTTCACCATTAACCAATACATCCGCTTACATACACATGTCAGTCACAGAGCATGCACAAGCGTTTGAGGACATACCTAGACATAAACACTGACAAAAAACTCATCTCATAAGTATCTTTATTGATTTTAAAAAAGCATTCGATACAGTGGATCATAAAAGTCTTATTAAAAAACTTAGTAAATATGGCATCACAGGGATGGCCTTAAAATGGATAATAAGTTATCTTACCGATAGGCAGCAATATGTTCAAATAAACAACACAAAATCACAAAGAAATAACATTACTTGTGGTGTACCACAAGGGTCGGTATTGGGCCCTAAACTATTTATCATTTATATAAATGACATTGTTGAGGTATCCAATATATTAAAATGCACCTTATTTGCAGATGATACAACTTTTACTATTCAGGAGATAATGTTGAGCAGATGATAGAAGTGATACAAACAGAGGAAAAAAATTAAACTATGGTTTGATGGGAACAAACTATCATTAAACAGTGATAAATCATGTGTTATGATATTTAGTAATACATATTCAAATGATGAAATTTTTTAAAATATAGATGAGATTAATATTAAAAGAGTTAAAGAAGTCAAGTATCTGGGAGTCATCACTGATGAAAAAATGTCTTGGAAACTGCATATAAACAGTGTCAAAATTAAAATATCTAAAACTATTGCACTGTTACATAGAGCAAAATGGTTGCTTGATAATAATTCACTATATTTGTTATATAACGCACTGATCATACCATACCTGAACTACTGCATTGAAATCTGGGGAACAACATATAAAACTTACACAAATTCCATTTACATCTTACAGAAAAAAGCAATAAGAATAATCACAAGGAGCAACTACAGAGATCCGTCCAATCCCTTATTTATAAAATTAAAAACACTAAAATTCTATGATCTGGTAGACTACAATATTTTAAAATTTATGTATAATGTAAACAAAAGGAACGTACCTGCAGGATTAATCAAAAGATTTACAAAAAGACATAGTAAATATGATTTAAAAGGACATGAATTATTTAACATACCTTGACATCGGATACTCATAAAGGAACATTGTGAGTCCATATATGGAGTTAAAATGTGGAATAAATTAAACACTGAAATCAAGAATGCAAAAACAATATTGACTTTCAAAAAAGAGAAAAAAAATGAAATGATAAACTTATATAGATCTGTTAGATAAATGCGTGAGGGGAGGGGGTTGGGGGGATGAAAGTAAAAAAAAAAAAAGGAAACAAGTCTATGTATTCATATGTGTATATATGTATGTATATAGGTCTATAACTTTATGCTTCTTTCTGTGTAACTTGTTTTCTCTCTTTTTTTTCAATTCATGGGTTGAGGTTGTGTCTGCCAACCAGTCCAGGGACTATATTGTTCAATTTTTTTTAAGAATCATATGATTGTTTCATTTGTATTAATGTTATTTTAGTTAAAAGGGGCAGATAACATAAGTTTTTCTTCTTTCTGTCCCCTCTTTCATTTTGGCTTGTAGCAATTTAGTTCTGTATTTTTATTTTAATGTCAATAAATGAAAATGAAAGAGAAAAAAAAAATATGTAGAGTTAGCGACACTTTTCGTGGACAAGTAATTCTGTAAAAAAAACTTACCGGAAGACAATATGAACGGTTCTTTACAAGGACTCGGCTCTCATTGTTTACTTTGAAGAGTCGTTCAAAAGATTTGAGTAGTTCGTTAACGTCACACCATTAGTAGGGCTCCACAATAGGGAGCCTAAGTCACTTCCGCATCATGGGTCCCAGGAAGAATGAAAAAATTAATGCAAGTGAACCGGGCACAAAACGCTATTTTCTAATTCACTTTGCCTTACGCCTTGGATCACACATATGTTGTGCTGCAATTTTAATGAAAACTAATGATTGGTGTTTTGACCACGCCAGTCACGTACTTTGAGATTTATTAGCTTGTAAAAGTTCGTAATTAGCATGACTACAAACTAGAAATCGGCACGTCGCATATGTGACGTCACCACATATTCTCCTCTCCCCTAGCGTAGCTGCAACTTACCACATGACCAGATTTATGGTGGTTCTTTCCTCCTGTGGGAAGTTTGCTGAACTTACAGCCCTTTTCTTCATGTTTGGCTCAATGACATCACTTTCGTGAAGCACATTTGTAGTCCTGGACTTATTTTCACACAAAACCTAAAATAGCGTTCCCCCTGTTTGAAAATAAACACGTTCTTGGTATCAAAATGTGTCTTTAAAGTTCATGGACATCATATGTGAAATCCATGGCACAAAACAAGCAGAATTATAAAATAGCGTTTTTAGCCCCATTGACTTGCATTCATTTTTTCGTTCTTGGTGCAGAAGTGACTTAGGCTCCCTGTATGTTGCAAATGTATAGTAATGGCAATTTCGGCACGCACAGTGCGCATATCACGAAAAACAGCAAAAACATAATGACTGCTCAGCTCAAATGTTTTCTACACATAATGCATTTTGTCAGTCAAACGGAGCATGAAATTTTTGAAAGATCAAAATCGAGCTTTTCAACCATTTGGCCAATCTGATGGGTTCTTAAACGTTAAATCCCCGCCCCCTAGGTGGACGGCACTTAATCTGGATGGCTAGCAAACACTTGGGGTGTTTCTCAGTGTCAAGGAACCTCGCCTTGATCCTGCCCCAGTTGCCTAGGAGACACGCCATCAGGAAACACCAAGGCGTGTCCAATGTTCATGTTCTCCCGAGGCATCTGTTCTCCGTTTGTTAGCTGGTTAACTAGTGACCAAGGATACATGGGGGGTGTCTTGTAGCCTGGCCTTGATTAAAAATTCCCCAGAATACAGTGCAGTATTTTCAAAAGGATGGCAGATCAGGAGAACGCAGCAGCTACGCCTTGACACTGAGAAACACCCCAGGTGTTACGTTCTGCTGTTTCT